CCTCATTATATTTAATGAGCAGTGTGGAACCAATATGAAATTTCCTGAAGGAGGGGGTAATTCACATATGGTTTAAAATGAAAATAACACTCGCTAAATGCTGACAAGAAAAGTCTGAAATGTTAATTTAAGAAAGAGAAAAGGCGCTTGGTTGTAAATTCTGTACTATTTTCAGAGCAAGTAACTCCTATGGTTATTGTGTATAAAAGGCAAGTTAATGGCATTTAGTCCATTATTATCTTAGAAAGACTTTTCCCTGACACAGAAGGAGGAAGGTATGAAGATAAGTAGATTTTATACTTGAATAGAAACAGGACTTCTCCATCTCAAAAGATACTGCAGAGGTTCAGGGCAATAATGGCATGTGTCATTTCACAAAGCAAAAGTTCAGTTTTGTCTCCATGATAGTTGTCATTTTGTACATACACATTACAGAAATACTTTAGAATAAATTAGTATTAAAATAGTTATGGTTTACATGTGACAAAATGATTTGAAGAATAACTCTTTTCCTGATACGTTCTTGACTCCTCTAAAGATAAAAGGAACCTTCATCCTATAGAAATGCATAAAGCACAGCTAGATGAATGGCACGTGCAGTCTGAGATTACCAAGTGTCTATGAAATTAATGGGTATATCAGTTAGGCGGTGTAAGGATCTGCCTCTCTATTTATGTATCAATTATAATAGTAGAAACACCCAGTGCAATTAAATCAAGTTCCACCAGCAGTTTCCATTACCCAGTTGTTATATCTGATCGTGCTTCACAAGCCTGGAAGCTTATGTGCTCTGACATACCTGATTCCCCTTAGCATACGAGATTTTAGCTGCGTTTCTTCTTCTAAAATATACAATGCGATTTTTTTTTAGGGTGACATTTACAGGCACTGAGGACAGACTACTTTTGAGCAGTTGTTTGTGTGTATGCCATTGATCTTTACAATTCTTAACTTTATTCTTTGAGTTAATAATTTGCTTAGACAGTTATTCTTTAATTTACAAGTAAAGCTCGAGCACGTTTCTTAGATTTTCATATTATTAACTACATGAGAAAACATTTTTCCATTTTTACACATTTTAGAAATCATTAACTATTAATACTGCCGATAATAGTATTCTGATGATAGAAATAACATGCATAAGCCAACTATGACAACACAATTGTGAAATTTCAGCTGAGAACTATATAAAAATTATTTCTTAAATTAATCTGCATATAGTTTTAGTTTTTCGGTCAGTAGTGATGTTATTTTGTAGGAAGACTGATAGATCACTGAATACCACATCCCATTAGCTATTTCAGAGGAATTTATCTTGAAGCAATTATCCAATTTTTTTTATTTTTTTTTTTTGTATTTGGGACCGAACCCATTTTATGCCGTTAAGTTTAGTACATAAAGTCAACTAAATGACAAGAAACTCAACCTCTTTTCTGGTCACTATAGTGGATTACAGATTGCCACTCCAGTGATGCTTCCAACCCTTATCCTGACAAATCGATATCTGTATTCAGCCACCTTACTCCCATGACAAGTTCTAATGAAATTTTCTTTGCCAAGAATAATGGTGGCTGCTACTGGATAGTGACTAGGCCATTCATTCAAATATTCAAGTACTGCAATCGCCCAAAACGCTCTGGTAAAAAGAAAGAAAACCAAAAGAGAGTGGAGAGTTTGCAAGGAATCTAGGGAAATCGCAGCTTGTGTAGCATTCATAGTCTGGGCAGACTGACATCTTTCAATAAAAGCCTAACCTAAATGCTGGACAAATGAGAAGGCTTTGTTTGTTACCCGCTTAATGTGAAGAGGGAATCAAGATTTGTTGCCAGTGAATCAGCATATTGAGTGCTGAACTACTGGTGTACTGATCCCGAGTCTAGAAAGGGAATTTAATGAAGTCAAAAATAGGATATAAAAGCTGGTTATGAAATGATGGACATGGAAATGATAGTTGGATTCTGATCAGATAATCCACTGTCCATGAAAATAGCAGCTGAAACATAGTGGTCACAGATGTGATAGTGCAGTTAAATAGTAAAAATAAAGAAACTGATAGGATTTCTCTCCTACCAGTTTGTTTGTTTAAAAAATTCAGTCAGAAAACCAGAATTTTTATTTTCTGGTGCACTTTTCTTAGGAAGGCATATATATATATTATTTTATTATTATTATTATTATTATTATTATTATTATTATTATTATTATTATTATTATTATATCTATCTTTTAAAAAACAAATTTTTCTGTCTGGACAAACCTTAGGTTTCTGTTTGTTGCACAGAGCAGTAGCCATGGTAATCATAGCCACTGGCTCTCTGGGTGCTGGTTGAACACCACCCATCTGGGACATGCCATTCTAATCTCTCCAGACTCCTGGCACATAAATACCGTCTGGAGTGATGGATAGACCTGGTAGGTACTGTAGTCTTTGATCAGCTGGTGCCAGCAAAGATCATGGAAAACTCCTGTGGGTTTCAGTTGCGTCAAGGGGCAAAAGAAAACTCCTGTTATAATGCTAGCCTGATATTGTAAGAAAATGAGAAGCAGAATTGCCAACTCTATCTGCAATAATTTCATATTCCTTGTGAGCTGCTTTTTCAAGAAATTAAATAACTAAATTCAGTAAAAATGATATATTCAATATATCCACCCATGACTAAGAATCTTTCCAGTGTTTTAACTGTTGAATCAGGTGCTATGTACACATATAATTTAATATTCCTTGGCTTCTGTCTTATATACTAGTTGGGGATCAAACCTTCAGATGCAGCTGCTTGGCATTAAGCAAAATGTTCCTTCTTTTTCCCTATTCTTTACAAATGGGGAAATCATGATGAGAACCACAAACAGCAGTAAATTATTAAATGTGTTGGTGAAGTACTCTTGACCTTTTCTTCCTCTCTGTTTACCTGCATTCCATAGTGATACTTTTGGCTATTCATTTAATCAGTCATATTGCTGTTAGACACCAGGGGATGATAAGCGAAATCATCATGAAGAAATCACTATTTAAAAACCAGCAGTGAGATTTGAAGAACGAACAGTGTGAAATAAACTTGGAGAAGTGCTTACATTTCTGTGTCCAATCTGCAGCTATCTTCTCCATGCAACAGACTAATTGTGCTTGGAAACACAAACAAACAAATAATGCTATTTTTCCTTTTTGGTTCCAAAGTCTTGCTTGGAAATCTGGACTTAAATGCCTTAAGTCTTACCATCCTGTTGCTTTCCTTTAGAACGTCACTTCTTTGTATTAATGACTGCAGTGTTGACTCATTCAATATAATTTAGCTTTTTCTTCCATTTGTGGACCTTCAGGGAAAGTGCAAGGACAACCTGTCATGAGAAAGTGATGAATAATTGCTTATGAGTCTGTGGCTAGAAAAATTGGGAGATCTAGATATTGAACAATCTGAAAATTCTTTTTGCTCCTCAAACTAACATAGAAAGAAATATGAAGAATTCAAGGTCAGGCTGGTGGGGGCTCTGAGCAGCCTCATCTAGTTGAATTTGTCCCTGCTCTCATTGCAGGGGGGTTGGACTAGACAACCTTTAAAGATCCCTTCCAACACAAGCCTGTGAACGGATGGATATCCAGATTGTGCCACCAAGAAAATTCACGCAGCTTTGCAATGCCATAAAAATACAGCCTAAGGATGGAGCCCTCCTTATGTAATAAAGTAGCAGCTATTAAAACAGCAATGTGGATTCCAGAACTAAGAAACAGGTTTTTGGAGTTTATGCATAAAGAGAGTAGAGCGAAGTGTTATCTGTAGGATGTAACTACCTGATTGGGATTAGACATTTATCTCAACCTGTGATTTCTTTTGTAAAGCTGTCATGACAGCCTGAATGAATAGTATTGATCAAAATCTTTTTCAGTTTCACAGTTCTTAACACAGTGCAAATTTGTGCATTGGGGGATGGGGGTGGTTGGTTTTGGTTGGTTTTTTGTTGTTTTTTTCCCAAAAAGGGATCAAGGGGAAAGCTTTGGGAGATGGGGAGAGACTGGGTTTGATCTTGGTAGTACCTGTGCTTGGAGAAGAGAGTTGCAGAGAACATAGGAGGAACCAAAAGGACGAGGGTGATCTCTGGGAAACTGCGGCTCATGCAGAGAGAGAGGACCGAGAGAATCAGAGAGCAGAAGAGTCAAGGCAAAGGTGTGACAGAGTTTTCTAGGGGCCAGAGGCCACTGTGAAAAGTTTGCTCTATCTCATAAAGTACTGAATTGCTTGAAGCTCAGGTGGAACTTAGTACTCCAGAAATGCAGCAGGAAAAGGAAAGCTTGTGTATAAACCACTTGTAATTTATTTTTTTTTTTTTTCCTGATAAAGTAGCATGGAGTTTTCTCTAAAAAAAAAACAAACAAACAAACAAAAAAAACCAAACCACAAACCAAAAAAAAAAAGCCCAGCCCCCCAAAACTGCCCAAAACACTTAACAAAAAAATCCCCTACTAGCTTACATTCTAAATTGTGTTTTGGTGTCTATTTTTATTTTTAAGTTATAAGCTTTTGGTGTTTATTGAGAGTTCATTAGCTAGAGAGAGTCTCAGCAAATTCACCTGTAAATTCTGTTTGATTAAAAGCCTGGACCGAAAAGCTACCGAGCATAGATGTGACTCGAGATGTGAAAATTATGTAAGACATTTGAAGTGTGGCTTTTTTACAGGTGTCATACAAATATTTGAGGTAAGCCAGACCTTGTTTAAGATTTCCGATTAGTCAGGTTAGAATGGTTAGACACAATTGCTTATGTTTAACAGCAGTCTACAGGAATACAAAGTGAATATGGCCTGTCTACTCTCACTGTAGTAAGTGCAGTAACTTGACAGATTTCAATAAATAATGTGGTATGCTATCACTAATTGCTGGAAAACATATAACACCAAGCAAACATACGATGCAATCTGGTAGTTCATGTTAATTTTGCCTAAAGATGCAGGGAATGGAAATAACAACTGAATATTATTTTGAAAGTCTATAATTGGTCTTTTTCAGGAAATCTTTAAGATAGAAGGCAACCTTGGAATTCCAAGACAAAAAAGAGCTATATTGGCAACTCCGATATTAATTCCTGAAAATCAAAGACCACCGTTCCCCAGATCTGTTGGCAAGGTAAGTCAACAAAGAGCTGGATCAAATTTTGATATGAAGTAATTGATTTATTTCTCTTAGTTTCGTAATGCCCGTCATGTTGGTAGTACTCTCAGATAAAATGAAGAAACATAAATTTGAACAGAGAAGATGTATGCTGTTGTATTCATGGCAGACTTTAACAGCATACGTTCTGCTAAAAAGCACGAATCAGAAACTTATGTTTTCATGAAACTACTATTTTCAGCAGAGGTTGCTTCGTATCTGCGTATCTGTGTGTTAGACTGGGGCTGAAATCTAGGCCAGGAATGTTATGAAGAATATCCTACTGCGTAGTGTGGATTGTCTTGTGTCTGTTCTCAAGACCTAGAAGGAACTCATGAGGAATTACATGTGAAAATGTCTTTTGTTCATTCCTTCATTAATTTCTGTGTCCAAAGACAATAAGTCATGCAGACGTTTTCGGTTTTGTTTTTTGTTGTTTGCAAAGTTCTGACAGAGAAGTGGAAAGTTTTCCTTGTCTACCTGGTTGCCTGCAGACACAACAGCTCTAACAGCCACTTTTCCAGAACTTCAGATATACACTTTGTATATACAAAAATCATTAAAACTAAAACCCCACTAGTCATTCAGAGGGACATTTAGGCATCAGAAGTTGTAATTGCATGAGTAGATTTTGCATGTTGGCAGTTTTGACACAGGGACTCTTACGCATCGCTCTGACTTTAGGAGGTGTGTTAATGACGTGATGGCCTGTACAACTGTGGACTCTATTCCTAATTCCCACCGCTACGATTGCTGGAGCTAAATGCACAGCTCGAGGGCAGAACTTTACGATCGATGTGTAATTTAGCCAGCTCGCACCTAATCAGTTACTTCAATAATTAGGAAAGTTTGTTTTGCTATCAGTAAAAAGAAAGAATAATCTATAAAGATTTAATTTTCTCCTCTTTCCCTGTCAGTATTTTATACTGATCTCATAAATTCCAGTAAGTTTTTCTATCTATCTGAAGCTTTTTCAACATGTCCTAAAATTTCTAAAGCTGTTTCTGAACTCTTACCTTCGCATTTCACTGTTTAAGAGTTAACAACTACAGTAAATATTGTTGGTTAATGTTAGTGATAAATAGTTAATTAAGTCTTCTGTTGTGCAGCTTTAAAGCAGTGAGAGAATGAAAAAGGTTTCTTATACACAGATCTTTAGGTGGGGTTTTTTTTGGTTATTGATTAATTTCTCCCTGCTCCCTTCCACCCTTGTGAACACTGATTTTTTGGATCGGAGATATTCTGAGTTGCTCTCTAGAAGTACCTTCATTTTGTATTGGAAGTTTAGGATGCAGCCCTGGTAACTGAGACTCCTTAAGCAGAACGAGATGAATTGGGTCCTATTTGTACTTAAATGTTTTCCTAGCATCTTGTCATCTTGATTTGTTATTGTTCCTGAAATACTAGTCACAGGTCACAAGTGCATTATATGATGTACAAACAGAGAAGTGTAAAAGTATCTGGTGGTCTGTTTTTCAAAAGCCCTAAAATACCTGTCCTCAACTAATGTTTAAATTATAGGAACTGCAAATGGTCAGCACCTTGAAATACTTTGAGCTGTCATCAGTTTTAAAAATCTTTAAATATAATTTAGACATGGCTATTCTGACTATAGTCTATTGCAAGCTGTAACATAGAGTGTATATGTGTCAAGTGAGACAAAAATTTTAGATATTTAAAATAATGGAATGAAATATTCTAGGTCAACTGCAGTAATTTGCAACTGAATGCTTAACAAAGCACAAATAAAAAGGTTTAGAGCCTCAGACATACTGATGGTAGGGAAGTGAAGCTACTGTTCTGTAACTAGAAAATTCAATAGGAGTCAATGCTGAAAATAAAAGCAATTCTTTTAGGTCTTTTTGACGTGTCACAGATCTTCATAAGATTGGCCATGAAGTCTTCAGAAATAGAATAGTCTGTACTAATCTAGAGAGCCTTAAACACCCAATTTATGTACTTGCTTCAGATCCTGCATGAACTGTAGAAAAAATTGATCATCTGTCTCGTTCAACTTTAGGTGTTTATTGTGAACGGTATGTAGCTTCATGAATTTGCAAAAATCTATTTAGTTCCCCGTTTCTGTGAGGCATGAGATGTGCATTTATTTCCTCTCCCACAATATTTTGGGGCTAATCTTCAGAAGCTTCAACAGGACGTTACATGGACTGATGAATTGCAGCTTCTGATGTGTATGAATTTCTCTTGAACTTAAACTTTGCTGCCTCTGGTCTGCTGTAATCACCATGAAGGGACATTGCAGATGTATGGTAGTAGCTGTGGTTCTTATAATGTTTTGGGGAAGAGAAAAACCACAGAAAATGAATAATTTGCATGTTAGAATAGAATTTTTAAAATGAGAAGGAAGAATAAACGCAAGCAGATTCTGGATCAAGCTTTTGTCATGTAACTCCCAGCAGTCAGGGCTGAGGACTCGTGTAGGTTTGCTGTGAGGGGAATAGCAGAGTTTGTCTCAAAACCCAGAGTCTTGTCCTGGCTGCCCAGTGCCATCAGCAGTGCCCTTCTGAGCTCCTCTGCGATGAGCATTCCGGGCCAAATCTTTGTCACATTGAACTGTGGGGAAGTTTATATTTTCTTTAGATGTAGTAATAAACGTAACAATAAAATTATTTAGGAACAAGGAATTCCCATGCAGTAAGATGTGTGTGTGTGGATAACAACACATTTTCCTGTGTGAAAAGTAATTCCAACTTTTGTTTTGTTCATGCAACAATACGTTTTCTGCTTAGCAGGAATGCGAAGCTTTTCTGGCTGGATGAAATATAGGATAGTGATAATTTCAGGTATGACTAGTTCTGTTTGATACCATCATGGGGTCTGGTTTGGATGTCCACATAAAAGTTTAGTTGTTCAGTTACACCCCGAGTGTGTTATTTTTTGCCTTTCTTTCACCTGCTTTAGCAAATTGCCAGTGTAGTTCATTCACTGGTCCTGACTGCCTTCTTGTTTTCCAACCCATGCTGGGTCGCCTGGAAATGCACAAGGTTGTTTGGAAGTGATTGCAGCAGCCACCAGCAGTTGAACTGCTTAGTAGCTCTTAGATGGGAGCAGGGCAGATGTGCAAAAATTGGAGAGCAGGAGGAGAACAATTAATTACGTTTTATTTCAGAATTAGGAAACAATAGCATAAACAAACAAGGGGTATTTTGGGGGACTTTATTAAGGTATATATATATTAATATTAAGGAAGGAGATATTGCACTGGACAAGTGGAAAACGGTTTGTTTTAATTAATTACAGAAATTCAAATTGGTATTTAGTTTAACAAGGAAATACATGTGTAGAGGCTATTCTCTGTGCTGTTCCTGGCTTTCCAGCATACCCACTTAGGAATTAGGTTATTGCCTTGCCATTTGCACACCCTTCATTAGGGTATCTCTTAATTAAACAACTATCATAGACGTGCTGTGCTTCTAGGTAGAGGAATCTCACCTTTTAGCAGAACTTAAGCTTTTGCATATTGTCCTTCATTCCTGAGGGAAAATAGTGAGATTAAAATATTTTAATACAATCTTGGTAGTATGGGCCTTTGTGACCAGATGGCCCAGGCTACAACTGTTGACTGTTATTGATGTGTTTGGTTTAGCTCTTGCTGATATAGCACAGGGATATGATATTCAATTTTTAGTCTCTCTCCATATGTTACTTTTCCGGTTTATTTGTCCACATTAAGTCAAATGAAGTACAAAACAGTGGGATGCAGGATTATCTTGTAATTATGGTGATAGCTTATTCACCACTATGCTATGGAAATGTTTTCTAAAACCAACTTAAGAGTGGTGGTTCTATGTATCTATTTGATGACAATCTCCAGACACACTTTAACTGTGGCGGTGAACTGCATGATTGTACTTTCTGAAGTTTAATCCTTACACTAATGCAGGGTTTAAAGTGCAAGAAAGTAATTGCGAGATGGCTAATAAGTTCCAGCTCTTCCAGGTATTAGGAGAGAAGGACATCTGCAAAGTGAGAGTGTTTTAATATAGGCTGAAAGGTTTTGCTATGGATTTTATTGATGGACATATGATGAATTAATGATTCTCTTAATTTAAAGGAATTGTCCTTCATAAGAATTAGTATTTTAATTGTTGATACATAAGATCTGGAAGCCAGGAGTGGCCCGGTAAAAATTGGCAGGACTGTTTATACTCAGCAAAGGCCAGAAAACAAAGAGAGGTACGCAGGAGACTTTGTAGGAAACTGCAGAATGAAGAAAAAGCAAAAACTTATTTTTTGCTAGTAAGAGAATCTTTTTCTTTGTTACTTGCCTGTTTTCTCCTTTTGGAAGGAGGGGGTGTTTATTCAGGTATTTTACATCCAATACTATATATATACCCCTGCCTCTGATCTGGGCTGATGTAAAATGAGCTGTCAAATGACAATTAGATAGCAGGACCGACCTAAGCAAAACCTCAAGGATACAAGTGGTGCAGGCTAGCAAACAGGATAGAAATCTTTAAGATCTATGAGGAGGTGGGGTTTTCTCCTCTGAGCTGTGAATTTAAGGCAAAGAGAAAATACAGCTCGTCTGTTAATGCAGCAATAGAAAAAAAAACCCAACCAACTGAAGAGGGGAGGAAACTGAAGATAACTGGATGGAAAAGCTGCTGGAAGCTTATTATTTTTGAGTGGCTATCTGATTGAGGCTATTTATATATGATAAATTATATGCTTCACAGAAGAGAAGTGTTAAGTACTAAAGATGCAGCTGGAGAAAATACCAAACTTCAGGCAAAAGTTTGAAAAGGAGGTGATAGAAGTGTCAAGAGAGATGATCATGATCCACTGACCCGTGAAGAGAACCTAGAGAGGTTTGTAGATTAGAGGAGGTCATGTGAAAGGCAACAGAGGAACAACAGTGAACTAAAAGCTGAATTAAGAAGTGTATGTGTTCTACTGGAAAATAAGCTAGAAAATGTGGGTGTGGGGAAAGAGAGACTGAAGAGAATTGGAGG